TCTTCCGATCTTTACGAAAATTTTTTACTTCTTTGCGTGATGTTTAATACTGAAACGCTGGAAATTCAAAACATGAGGATACAGAATATTTAAAATACTTTGTCGCAAGTTGATCGCTCGATACTTTCAAGAATAATGGCATAAATAGTATGCGCTCGTTCTGCTACAACTTCTGCTAAATAGCACTTAACGTTGTTTTCTGAAAAAAAATAGATGCCAGTCTTTAGATAATATTCGACATGGACAGTTCAAAATTGGACGCATACCAAGGTGCTTATTTTTGTGATATTGTAACTGACGAAAAGAGTAATTTTGAAAAACATAATTAATTACGATATAGTGATATTTAATTTAAACATATTATTAAGACGTACTTATTATCTTGTCACTGTTAATAGAAATGTTCCATTATGTTCTTTCAATGCTGTGCTGATTATTACCATATTTAAATATTGTAATAAACATTAGCCATTTATTAATATTGGTATTTAAAACGAAAGATTATTTATTATTTACTAGTATTTAAATAATTTTTGAACTTATATAATTAAAAAATAGTATCTTCGAACGTTTTATCTTATGTGAATATCTTATCTTTCGTGAACTATGACTTATTAAAGTTTCTACAGATAGATTTCGAATGGGCGGTGAAATTGAATCGTATCACTTTAAATTTTATTGGTCTTTGGCCTAAAACTGCACAAAATCCTCGACAGAAGTTAATGTGCAATTTTCGAGTGCTTGTTGTTTTCATGGGAATAGCGTGCGGTATTTTGATTCCTTCTATACATTCGTTAATAAGAATTTATGGAGACATCATACTAATGCTAGACAATTTACAACTTTCCCTACCGGCTCTGAGCTGTGTAATAAGAATCATGGTTTTTTGGTGGAAGAAAGAAGGTAGACAACTTTCTGCTATCACTCTGAAGTACAAAATGTGCTAAATATAAGCGATATATATTGTAAATTTATAATAAAATTGTGACAAATTCTAAATTAAAAGATTGTTTTCGTTTTTAAAATTATTTAAATTTTTATATCAGTAAATTTATTATTATGCGCACATTTATACACACAAATACACCTATAAAATGAGTTGATTTAATTCTATAAATAATTTATGTGTTAATAAGAAAGTAATTTAAATTACAAGTTTATAATTACTCTAAACGAAAATTTCACATTACGAAATTTTACATTCGGTATTAATTTATGTCTTTATTTTTTGTTTTTTATCTTTTTATGTTTTGTTTTCAACATCATTTTTCTTAAAAATCTAGTAAAATATAATTGTTTTTTCTTTAACTCTATCTTATGAACCTATTAAATTTCTTTATATTGCTTACGATTTGAGTTTGATATAGTTTCTATTCCAATAATATTGTTAAATGTGCATTAAAGTATACAATATTAAAACTTTTGAAGCTATCATCCCAATTATGGATATGATTGCGGAGGATTGGATAAAACCGAAAAATACGCAGGAGAAAAATGTGATGATGAAAAGAGCGCAGAGTGCACGCATAATTATTACATGCTCATATTGCATCATGGGAGTGGCATGCTTTTTTGCTTTCGTCCTACCTTGCTTTGGAATATCGATGAGAGACACAAACAACATTACTGATCCAGGCGGACCAATGCCTCTACAAACTTATTACATTTACGATGTAACAAAACGACCGCAGTACGAACTGACGTTTATTAGCCAATGTATTTATATTATTTTCGCCGCGATGTCTTATACTGGAATTGATAATTTTCTCGGATTGTTGGTTTTCCATGTGTCTGGCCAATTGGACATTCTCAAGAATCGTTTGATACATTTGGATAAATGCATAAATTCTCATGACATGTTGAAAACATGCGTGGCACAGCACATTCGTTTACTCAGGTTTGATATTTGTGGAAAATTTATATATTTATATAAATATAAATAATTTGCATGACATGTATAATTGATTTTCATGTTGTATTTAATACATAGAATATCTTTCGTAGGGCCATTGCCATTATTGAAGATGCGTATAATATAATACTTCTCACATTATTTGTATACTTCGCAATACATTTTGCTTTTTATGGCTTTCGCATTATTAACGTAAGTAATGGAAATGTTTAAAAATAAAAATTTATTATAATTAATGTTTAACGCAAATATAAATTTGTAAAGTTATTAACGCAAACAATATTTTTAAGATATGCTATTATTATATCTATAAGATATTCTATCATATGTATATAAACATATATAATAAATAATAGTAATAAATAATCACATTTCTTACGTATTTTAATTAATTAGTTATTTGACGAAGGAGGTGATTTATCACTGACTCACTTGATATATTTTGTATCAACGTTTTTCAATTTATTTGGGCATATGTGTCTATATTGCGCTCTCGGCGAATTTTTAATGACTCAAGTAAGTTGTATTTTTTGAAATGTAGTTTAAATTTTTTTATAAATTCTAGATCGCATATCTAGCTTTATAATATATTATGAGTTCTAAGAGAGTTTTAAGAAAGATATTATATTGTTAATATACATAATATATTTTAATATTTTTCATATATGCAATTTATTACATTTATTATTTACACAAATATATTAGTTTATATTTTAAATGTAACATAAATTGTGAAAACATAAATTGATTTATTAGCAACGGTAAAATTATTTTATTATGAAACAATGTGCATACAATTTTTATTTCTTTTATATAAATAGAAAATTTTTTTATATTTTTTAGTGCAATGAAATATATAATGCGGCTTACAATAATAAATGGTATTCCGCGGATCCAAAAATTGCACGAACCTTGTTGTTTTTGCTCATAAGAGGCGTCAAACCGATTTATCTTACTGCTGGAAAAATGTTCCCCATGACTATGACTACATTTTGTGGTGTAAGATATTTTTATGTTTAATTATAATTAATGAGTCAAAAGCATTTAAATGACATTGTAATGTTTGTATTTTTTACGATAATTTACATTTTAATTATTAAAATATTCATAAATATCTTCTTTTTACTATGTATATTTTATGCATATCTTGCATGTATCTAATTTTATGTATACATTATATATGTGAATCTTAAATTTAAATCTCCATATTATTAATTATTACTAAAATATTTTTTTCAGTTAATAAAAACATCAATGGGATATGTATCTGTTTTGCATACAACGAGAAGTTATTAAAAAATTGAGATAAATCTAAATTGCTCCTTATAATTTGTTGTTTTATAGTATAGCGATAGTACATCTAAAATTGTGTAAATATTAAAATGTTATTGCCAAATAAATTATAAATTTTGTTGCACGATTTGATGGAAATATGTCGAAAATTCTTAGATAATTAAAAGCAAAGCAATCTAAAATAAAGTTTAAATAATTTAAAGGAAATATAATATAAAGTTTAATTTTAGATCGCAAGACAAGAAGAGGCATATTTTTCACGAGTTAAATCTAATTATATGTATATTGTATTAACTGTTTGATGTATACGTATGAGTTATACGTATGTGGAAATATAATATAAGTACATACATAAAATACACTGATTTACCTGTTGTTATTTAATGCCAATATAAAACATGATTTAGGAGAGAAAAGAAGAAATATTTTAAATAATGGATTTATATTCTATTGCAGACAATTTCAGGTTTCATAATTTCAAATTTTTGACAACTATGTCACAAATATACAAGAAGATTTACTTTAATTTTAACAGTCAAATATTGTAAAAGAAATTAGCTATTTTACGCAAGAATGTTTTAAAATAAAATGTAGAATATCTCGTAAACTATTATATTTTTGATAATTCTAATTTAATAATTTTTAATGCTTCTAGAGCAACTAGAAGAATTATATTTAAAAAATCATGTTATTTCATGATGATAATTTGCATGTTAAAATCCTTAAAAATTTGATTTTTGTCGAAAAGTGATATTTTCATTTATTTGTCTTCCTTTACACAATGTATCTTTTGTTTGTAAAATATTTTTTATTATTAGACGCGTACTTTTTTTCAGAAATAATATCTTGTAACACATTACATTACACCAATGTACATATGTCAAAAATTAAAAAATTTTGCAAATTTATCTACTACAAGAGACGAAAACTATAGATATACACTATAGGATTCTATCGGAGTGCATTCCGTTTTATGATGCTCATGTTGTATTATTTTATTTTTGTTCTTCATTAAACGTTAAATAAGGAAAAAATGAAAATGCATTAATATCATGCTTTTCACGCACGATATGAAACGCATTTTATGTGATCATTACTAACGTAAGTATAGTAATGTAAGCTATAGCTGATTGTAAAAACGTGTGAATATAACAGATGTGTATTTTTTTTTACCAATGTGATAACAACCAGTTATTACGAAAATTTTTTACTTCTTTGCGTGATGACGCTGAAATGCTGGAAACTCGAAACAAGGAGATACAGAATATTTAAAATACTTTCTCGTAAGTTGATCGCTCGATACTTTCAAGAACAATGGCATAAACAGCATGCGCGCGGAACTTCTGCTGAATAGCAAATAACAACATTTTTTTGAAAAAGAAATAGATATCAGTCTTTAGATAACATTCGATATGGACAGTTCAAAATATGACACATACCAAGGTGCTTAGTTTTATGATTGTTGTAATTGAGAAAGAGGATAACATTATGAAAAGTGTGTTTACGATCTGCGATGATAGTAATAATAAAGACGTACTATCTTGTCATCGTTATTAGAAATATTGCATCATGTTCTATTAATACTATGCTGATTATTATTATATATCAGTATTTAAATATTATCATAAACATTAGCCATTTATTATCATCGTCATTTAAAACGAAAGATTTTCTTATATGTTATTTGTTAGTATTTAAACAATCTCTAAATTAATATAATTCACTAGAAATTAGTTCCTTCGAACATTTTATTTTTTATGCATTCTAAAAACATATTTTGTACGTTTCATATATTACTTGTTAGTTCATATGTATATTAAAAATTTTATGATACTTTTGTGAGCTAAGACTTACTAAAGTTTCTACAGGTAGATTTCGAATGGGCAGTGAAATTGAATCGTATCACTTTAAATTTTATTGGTCTTTGGCCTAAAACTGCGGAAAACCCTCGACAGAAATTAATGTGCAATTTCCGAGTATTTGTTGTTGTCGTGGCAATAGCGTGTGGCATACTGATTCCTTCTATACATTCATTAATAAGAATTTATGGAGACATCATACTAATGTTAGACAATTTGCAACTTTCTCTACCAGCTCTAGGCTGTTTGATAAGAGTCGTGGTTTTTTGGTGGAAGAAAGAAGGTAAAAAATTTTCTATAAAACTCTGAACTATAAAATATGCTAAACGTAAGCGGTACATATTGTAAACTTATAATAAAGTAAACTTATAATAAAATTGTGACAAATTTTAATTTAAAAAGATCGTTTGTATGTCTTTAGATTACTTATTATACATTTCTGTATCAATGAAATTATATTTTAAGCACATATACATCCATCTATACATTGAATTGATTTATTTCTATAAGTAATTTATGCTAATACAAAACGCGTTTAAACTACAAGTTAATATGTAATTATTTTTAAACAAAAATTTTATATTACATAATTTCTTTATCGGTACTTATTTATGTCTCTCTTTTTTTTTCTTCTTTTATCTTGTCAACTTTTATATCACTTGTCATACAAATATAAAAAAAGATAATTATTTTCTCTTTAATTGTATTTGATTTATGACTTGAATTTTCTTACATAATTTCTTTATCGGTACTTATTTATGTCCCTCTTTTTTTTTCTTCTTTTATCTTGTCAACTTTTATATCACTTGTCATACAAATATGAAAAAAGATAATTATTTTCTCTTTAATTGTATTTGATTTATGACTTGAATTTTCTTACAATTTGAATTTGATACCGTTTTTATTCCAACATTGTATATTAAAATGTATAATAATTACACTTTTGAAGCTATCATACCAATCATGGACATGATTGCGGAGGATTGGGTCAAATTGAAAAATCCGCAAGAAAGAAATATAATGATCAAAAGGGCGCAAAGTGCACGCATAATTATTACGTGTTCATATTGCATCATGGGAGTAGCATGCTTTTTTGCTATCATTTTACCATGCTTTGGAATATCTATGAGAGACACGACCAACATTACTGATCCAGGCGGACCATTGCCTCTACAAACTTATTATATTTACGATGTAACAAAACGACCGCAATACGAACTGACGTTTATTAGTCAATCTATTTATATTATTCTCGCCATGATGTCCTATAGTGGTATTGATAATTTTCTCGGATTGTTAGTTTTCCATATATGCGGCCAACTGGACATTCTCAAAGAACGTTTGATACATATGGATGAATACATCAATTCTTACGACATGTTAAAAACATGTATGGCTCGTCACATTTGTTTACTCAGGTTTGATATTAAAAAATAGTATTTATATACATATATATA